TCCTCTCCTCTCCTATTGCATTCTGTTCTATTCCATTCCATTCCAATTCTGTTCTATCCTGTCCTGCTCTGTTCTGTTCCATTCTGTTCCATTTCCATTCTATTCGATTATTATTTTCTATTTTCTACATCCTGTTCCATTCTTCGAAGCTTTAGGCGAAACTCCCCTGGGAGGGGGAAAGTGGGGGGGGGGGGTAAAACAGGTTTAAGGAAGGGGGGATACCTTCACAGGGACCGTCCAAGGAAAAAAAAAAGCAGAAACTTTTCTCTTCTTCCCTCTTTCTCCAATCCCTCCTTCCTGCCAGACATCCTGGTTTTCATGCTTGGGTTTAATCGATCTCAGGTTACTGACAGGAGTCTGACCACCACGCCCCTAAATGGTTGGGGAGGGGCATCTTCCCCAAACCTCTTAATTCCAGATTTGGAGGAAAACATGGTTGGGCTGCAGGCTGCAATGGTTGACCTTTGAATGAAGATTATTCGCCTTTGTTCACTGTTTTCCTCCTCCATTTTGTTCTCTGGGGAGAAGAAAGATCCAGAGCCAGCCACAAAGGTCCCAGAGCATCATTTATTTATTTTTATTTTTTTGTGGGGGGGTTGTAATAGCTAAGTGAGTCTTAGAATCACACATATGGCTGAATCAGACCTTGGAGGAAGGTACAAGTACAGATTAGGAGAAAGCTGGCTCAAAAACAGTCACTGTAAGACGGACCTTAGAGTCCTAGTAGACGCTCCCTTAAACGTGAACCAGCCGAGAGGTGGGATTCAGCCGGTTCTGACCAGTTCTGGAGAACCAGTAACGGAAATTTGGAGTCGTTGGGAGAACCGGCCAATCCCACCTCTGACCTGGCCCCACCAACCCCCATCTCTTCTCTGCCTCCCATTGAGTCCCAGCTGATCGGCTGGGTCTCCTTTGGTGGCCCTGTGCAGGAGAACGGAGCTGGAAAGCAGGTTAGTGGTGTGGGGAGGGAAGGGGGATTTTGCAGTCACCTTCCCCTGCCACGCCCACCAAGCCATGCCCACCGAACCAATAGTAAAAAAAAAAAATGTGAATACCACCATGTGAAGTCTGAGTACTGCTTTATAAATGCCTCAGTAAAGCCACACCTGGAATCCTGCAGGTGTGGATGTCAGCTCTGAGATTCAGCTGCCAAGATTGTTATAAGGAGTGCAAGGGTGTGTGTAGAGAAGTTGGAAAGTTCAAGGTTATTTCGTATTGTCGCATTAAAAAATTCCAGCTGCCGTTAATTGGTTCTCGTGATTAATGAAGTGTAGAAGTGGGAGGAGAGAGGGTGGGTTTTGTGAAAGCTGCTGAAAACTTTCGATTTGGAAATTGAATAGAAGTACCAGAGCTGTTCCTAATATCTCGTTTGGAGATGATGTTTGTCTCGGAGTGATTGATTACAATGGACAATTCTGGATGCCTATAACAGTGGTATTATACCAGTTCGGCACAGTTCAGCCAAACTGGTAGCTCCGAGGATCCTCTGTGAGCAAACCGATTCACTCCAACGATCAGCTGCTGGGCCCGTCCGCCCACCCTGGCTCTATTCTGACCTTTATGTCCTGGTTTTGAAGCTCAGGTGCTTCGTTTGGCACCGCGTATTGCCGCGCGTCGGCTGTTGAAGACGCAGGGAGAGTACAGGATTGCAAGAGAAAGTCCGTATCAAACCCTCTGCGCGTGCACGAGATTTTGCAGTATCCTTCCCAGTGGTGGTATTATACCGGTTCGGCCCGGCTCGGCCGATCTGGTAGTGCCGATGAGAAGCGGAAACCAAACCGGTTCTCTCCACCGCTCTGTGGTTGGGCCCACCTGCCCTCCCGGGCTTCCATACTCACCTATATCCCCTGCTTTTGAAGCGCAGCTGCTTTGCGCAGCACAGAAGAGTGCTGTGTGGCAGCTGCTGAAGAGACCGGGAGAATGCGGACTTGCAGGAGGCAAGTTGGAACGCCTCTGCGCCTGCGCCGCCATGCCAAACCATCCAAGCCATGCCTACCAAGCCACGCCCACAGAACCAGTGGTTTAAAAAGAAAAAGGTTGAATCCCACCACTGGAATCCTGCGTCCAGTTTTGGTCCCCACATTACAAAAAAAAGGTGTTGAGACTTTGGGGAATGTACAGAGAAGAGCAACTTAGACCAGGGGTCCCCAACCACTGGGCCACAGACCGGTACCGGTCCGTGGAACATTTCCTACTGGGCCGCCGGTTTTCTGGGCGCCGCCATCTTGTTTGATGAGAAAGTGCTTCCGGGTGAGCTTTTCCAGTTGGAAAGCGGCGTTTGGATCCTGAAGGAATCCTCGCGCCTTAGTTTCATCGAGGGGGGGGGCTTCGAACGAAACTAAGGCGCGAGGGTTCTTTCAGCACCCAAGGCAAGGTGAGCCGAGCGACCGTCCCAAAGCCGTCCCGAAGCAAAGCCCATCGACAAAGGTACAAAGGAGGCGTTGAAGGTTGCGGGGAGAAGCGGGGGACGGCTGGCTGGCCGGTCGCTCGGCTCGCCTGGCCTTGTCATGCGTGCTGATGCCGGTACCGGGCTGCGGATCATTTTGTGATGCCAGTACCGGGCCATGGCACAAAAAAGGTTGGGGGCCACTGACTTAGACGATTAAAGGATGTTTCTAAGCATCCATCTTTCCTTTCCTTCTTCTTCTTCTTCACCAGGGACAAATGGGGAGCGGTCCCGGACCCCGTCTCCACCGAGTTCTCCTGGTCTCCACAGCCACAGCTGCAGCATCGCGCCCCTCACTCCATCTCAGTCCCCGGTAAGCAGCAGCCTTCCCCAAACCTGGTCAAAGCCCCACTAGGGGATAAGGTGGGTCCCAGGTAGGCTTATCAAATGGTGCTGAACACCTCCACCGCCCCCACCCCCCGAGCTGTGCTGACTGGGGAATTCTGGGAATTGAAGTCCACCCATCTTCAAGGGCCCGAGGTTAGTGCTCTGGAGCTCAGGGTGGAGCATGTGGGGCCCAGGCCCAGGGGCCGCCCTTGTGGGTCCTCCTCTGGCATCCTGGTGTGTGTGTGTGTGTGTTTGCAGAGGAATGACATCCGGAGGCAGGAGACGTCTCCTTTCGGAGTGGTGGTGGCCATCGACTTCGGGACCACTTCCAGCGGCTACGCCTTCAGCTTCGTCAGCGACCCTGAGACCCTCCACATGATGAGGTACCCTCTGGGGCTGAATGCTGGCTCTAAATCTCTCTCTTTCTCTTTCTTTTTTTCTTTTTTTCCCTCTTTCTCCCTCTCTTTCTCTCTTCCTCTTTCACTCTATTTCTATTTGTTTCTCCCTCTCTTTTTCCCTCTTTCTGTTTCTCTCTCTTTCACCCTATTTCTTTCTCTCTCTTTCTCTTTTTCCCTCTTTCTCTCTGCTTCTCTTTCTTTCTTTCCCTCTGTTTCTTTCTTTCTCATCTTTTTTCTCTGTTTTCTCTGTTTTCTCTTTGCCTTTTTCTTTCTGTATCTCTTTCTCACTCTTGCTCTCTTTTTCTCTCTTTTCTCTCTCCCTCTTTCTCTTTCTCTCTCTCTTTCACTCTATTTCTTTCTCTCTCTCTTTATCCATCTTTCTCTCTCTGTTTCTCCCTCTGTTTGTTTCCTTCTCTATGCTTCTTTCTCTTTTTCTTTTCCTCTTTCTCTCTGAATCTCTTTCTCATTCTTACTCTCGCTCTCTTTTTCTTTCTCTCTGTCTCTGTCTCTGTCTCTGTCTGTCTGTCTGTTTGTCTGTCTCCCCCCCCCTCTCTCTCTCTCACACACACACAGACAAATACCCAAACACAGAAAGACATTTATTCTTCAGGCCTCCTCCACAATCTTTGGCACACGTCTCTGGATATTCCGTGCATGAATGAACAGAGAATGTTTGTTTTTCTCGAGCCTCTCCTCAGGTGGAAAGGCTGTGCGAAGGAAGGACGCTCACCTGCCCAGGTGTTTGCAAGAGATTGCACCCAGCACTGTTATCACAGTCTCCCTGCCTACTTGGGATTGTGGAGTATGGGTTTTAGATTATTTCTGGAGGAAGAGGGGGAGGGAAGGAGGGAGGGAGGGAGGGAGGGAGGAAGAAAGAAAGAAAGAAAGAAAGAAAGAAAGAAAGAAAGAAAGAAAGA